CCTACGGGAAAGTAACGGTAATCTAATTACCGTTTTTGCAATAGTAATCCCTTACTTTACTCGTTACCTGAAAAAAGTAGTCAGATTACAGTAACGCGTTACAAGTAACGTGTTACTGCCCATCTCTGCTTGTAAACATATTGTTTTAAAGTGTATTATATACAGTAAATCATGTCACATTAGATCAAACTGAGCCAAACTACTTAAAATATACCAACTGTCCATAACCAAAACACACAGATACTTTAATTAGCATGATGATGTATTCATTTGGCGTGTGCTCTGCTTTGCAGAGTCAAGACATCTTCTCTTCCACTTTCTCTCTCTATTTTTTCCCTTGGGGAAAAGCGATGGGGGATGGGAGACTCATGACAGAATCTGCTCTCTGCATGGGAAGGCGAGTAAGCATGGGTGAGTGAGCTAAGGGGGACTAGAGAGACAGAGAGAGAGAGAGAAACAGAGAGGGAGTGTACTGTAAACTGTCCAGTGGGAAGCTTATCAGCATTGCCTCATCTTATTTCACAATAATACGACTCTTTTTTTTTTTTTTAATTTGTCAAATTGAAATTTGCTTTATTGGAATTCATTAATTTACCATCAACATTACATAGATACAGTCAGATTTACAGTTTACATTACTGGCTTTTTCTCATCCTATAATATGATAGCTGTCATTTTCTCCCCTCGTATATTTTTGCAAGATTCTGTTCTACATTTAAATTTTGTTTCGCAGACATTACAAGCTTTAATATTTTGCTTGGATTCAGATCACTACTGCTGCCAACATAATCTAGCACGTGGTATTATTTGTTCAATGAAAAAGTATTAAGTTGTAGAGTAGAACAAGAATTTTAGAGGCTTAGACCTCTGTATGATGTGTGTGAGTACAGTACTCCACAACTGCTGCAGCCTCAGGAGGCCTGAGATCCTATAGCCTCCAGGGACACAGGGCCTCTGAGTAACTCTGACCCCAGCTGGTATGTTGAGCTCTCTGGCACAATCAGATAAATGACCAGGATCCAGGGCTGGGGTAGGGGGCGGAAGTTTTTGAGTGTGCATGTATGTCAGGGGTAGGGGAGGTAAGAGCAAGGGAAGAGTTAACGGAAAATGGGACGTGATCAATCAAAGCTAATTTTAGGCCAATGCGCTTCATGTGGAACACCAGCCATCATAGCTGTTGACAGGCATGCTAACCAGAAGTGTAATCTGTGTTTTTAGGCGACTCATCGTAAAGAGAAGTGAAAAGGAACTGATGAACAGTTTACCCATCACGGAGGGCTGTAGTCAGCCTGTGAAAGTAATGTGTGTAATGTGCTCTTTGTCTCTGGAGAGAGTTTTCCAGCGTCTGTGATGATGTCATTAGGATTACCCTGCTTGGGTTTTGAGACTAGAAATGGAAAATCAACATTACAAACTGAGGACTTGAAATCAGTGACCTTTTATTGTATATGGTGGGTTTATGGCAGAAGGATACAATCAAGCTGCATTCGAGGAACTGTAGGATACAGTTGTTTGAGATCTTAACCCACATTAGAGGCTAACAGTTAGGATACCCCTGCATTTTTGGATATCCTTTTCTTACAATACTAGTCTTGTGAGTTAATGAAAGTGCAATATTACAATGGTGGCTTATTTTGTTTTTTTATTTCACAGCAAATCCACTGACATTGTTTTCACATATGATTTTCTTTCTGCTTGGAATTGTTGCATTCCATGTTTACATAAAAACACTAAAAGCTTTAGTGATTATATTTATGCTATGATACATGATGCTTAAATTTCTAGTGTGGGGGTCTTTTTAGATAAAATGAAAATTAAAAAAATAACCTTAATATAGAAAAAAAGGTATTCCCAAATACAGAAAATAGGTCATACTTTGTTGTGTGCGATTAAATTCAGGGGGGGAGCCCAAATAGATGGCAGAGCAGCAGACACCTCACAGCCCCGGAATAGCTGCATCTCAGTGGGAGTCCCTCCTTCAAGGCAGACAGTATAATTAGCACTGTCAAAGGCGATCCCTGAACAAATGGCACAGTACCCCCTGATCCACGGGGTGAACACGGTCGCAAAGAAGAGGACAAAGTGGCATATTTACTGGGATTCTACTTATGTGGTGTTTAAAGTGAACAGACAATTAAATAGGACAGCGCTTGCTGATGTCACTGATAGGTAGGTGGGGTGAGACTTGTGCCACTGAAGTTATTCAAACAGTTATTCTTCCCACACTCTAGCATGCAGGCCTAGAGGACTAGAAAAGAGGGAGAAAAAAGAAGTGGAGCTACAGGCATTCTGTGGGTAACCCATCATAGGCAGCTGATACCTTGCTGTAAGAAACAGAGTGTCTACATGAGTGGGGGTCCCATAGCCATCATTACTGTACTGCTCAGGGGCTCACTGAACCATGGAAAGCTAGGATAGTTGATAGCTCCAGAGGATTCTCCATAATGGAACAAATGGCCCTGGAGATATGCTTAATTGTCTTTTATAGGTAGACATGTTAGAATTATGCACTGAAATATAATTTAAAGGCTACAACTTTGATGAGCCTCTGGGGAAAGAAAATAAGCTACAGATACGTATGCCGCTGCCTTATACACTTTTCACTGGGGCAGCACATTTTCAGCACACGCACACACCGTGGCACCTCCAGTGAGATGACAGCAAGTTGGCAGGCCCTGCAGCTGGAGGCTTCTCTCTCTTTCTCTCTTCTATCCATCCCTCCATCCTCGCAGGATTCCCTCTGTAATATTACACACTTCAATGTTCAAGCTGCCACTTTCCAGAAAAGCTATCAGAGCTGCTGTGGGATCAGACCAGGACTGCAACAGCAGAAATGCGTGAACCACACAGGCAGGGCTAGATGTTGTTGCGGTGTGGAGGTGTTTGTTTCCAACACTGCTGGAAATGCTACGAACCATCCAATGACAAGTTAATCCGCTGCGGTTGTACCTACGCCAGGGCTGAGCATATTAATGCTACTCCGGGATATGTTCTGCTTGTGTGATTCATAGGTAAAGAAAGTGGGGATCTACTGTTTTGATGAATCAGGATGAGCCACCACATATGTATAGAGAGGCATTCTAAAACTGAGCCAATATCCTGTTGCACGAAAGGAAACTTTACTATCAGGCCACAGAGGAGTCAGATGGTCAAATCAGAGTCTCAATAGATAGCAAAACAGTGCCAGCCACCCTTCAGTGTAAAATCCACCTCTTTTGCCACATGTAATTCAGTACATGATGTAACTCCCCCCCCCCCCCCCCCCACCTGCACACACACACACACACACACACACACACACACACACACACAAACACACAGTAACCAAGGCATGAAAGGGGAAAACCAAAAAGAAAACACAGAGTGCTTCTTATGCAAAGCGACTCAAACAAAGGCCTCTTTGACCTCCCAACATCTGGTGTCCATTCAGCCTGTGTGGCGTGCATCAAGTTACCCAACATTATGGTGAGACAGCCAGTCACGCCTGTCGCAAAGAACAGCCTCTTCTGCCCATGCTCAGTCATGACAAGGCTTTGACATCACTGTCAGACTAAGAGTGACTAAAGCTGACAATCTCCCTTTACCTCCGGAGAAAGAGAAATAGGAAAAACATGCCGCTGTTGGGGAGTAAGGGAGGATGAGGGGAGACAGTGAAAGGGGAGGAAAGGCAGAAAAAGCCTGGATGAATCACCCAGCACGCACCGCAGCGGCTGAGGTAGCCGTGTCTTGGAGTACATGAGTCATGTTCATCATGCAGCAGCACTGGGCAGGGATTGCACAACTTTCTCTCCATTAGGAATGTTGCAAATATTTACCCTTTGATGGGAAAAAACAATAGCTCTAATCCTTCTAAAGAGCTCCCAGTGATAGTGCCACACATCCCTCACACTGAAGTCACTGGCACCTGCTGAGAGGATGGATGGAACACCAGTCAGCCTGCTGCAGCTCTCAGGCACAACCCACCCCAAAACAAAACAAAACAAAAAAACATTTGACACCTAAACTGCAATCGGATATTTATGCTGCATTCTAATACAATAGTAAAAACCATGCAGCACCAAAAGTGTGTGCAGCTCTTCATTGAAGAAAAAGATAAACCCCAAGAAAATCAACAGGATGGAAACATTTAAGGCCCACATTTATAACCCTCTCTCTTAAAAATCCAAACGGGTTCAAAGCCATTTTTTAATTAACAGTCCATCAGTAGAGTGTGTTTCTTTATAACAGGTCAAGACGAGTGGGGGTAATATCCCACCATAAACGAGATTTATGGCTCAGGCGGTGATAGTTTTAGAGCCATGATGGCGGAAATACTCCGGTCCACCTTAAAAAAAAAAAAGAAAAAAAAAAGCTAAAACCCTACAGTGGACAGCGCCGTGGTGCTGAAACAGCTCCGAGCGACATCTGTACACAAGAGGAGCGGGAGGGGGGGTACTTTAACGTTGAAATCACACACACACACACACACACACACACACACACACACACACACACACACCAGCGTGCGCCATTGCCACAAAGGACACCTTAAATGATCTTTCCAGTGTCATATTGTGTAATCTCGATGACGTTCGTGGGGAAAGGTTAAGCTATTTGGCGTGCTTTTTACGTGAAAATGGCGGGCGCCGCTGCTAAAACCCAACCCATTACAGCTATAGCCACAGCCACAACAAAGTGGTAGGAAAGCGCCTGAAATTCATGTTGCACTACAGCACTGATGCCAAGCTGGTAGAATAATATAGGAAAGGCTCTAAAAGGGGGGGAGTCAAGAAGCGTCAGCCAGGCAAAGGGGACCTTGTAATAATCACTCCGGTAGCCTACTATCCGCTAGTGGTCGACAGCAAAAAGTTCTAGCTTGGAAGTCAAGAGTCAACACGGCCACCAGTATCTCAGAGATATGTACACACGCTGTGTCTAATGACAATCCACCAACACACAAGGTTTATTCACCAAACAGCACCGACACCGCCTGTTAACACCCTCTCTTTCTCTCCGCTTACTTTAGCATAGACTGCTCCTTCGCTTCCTCCTTCTTCTGTCGGTCCATGACGCCGAGGATGATCTTCCTCTCCTCCTCGGTGAGGTGGCTGAGGTCCGGCATCTCCGGCATGGCGCCGGCCGCTGAGGGAGTAGCAGCAGCAGGGCCAGGGCCGTCCCGGGGCCCGTGTGGAGCAGACATCTTTTACACACAGTGGCTAAAAAACGAGAAAGTCACCGTCAACCAGCAGCATCGTGGCCGCTATTATTTATTTATTTACCGTTCTTTTCTTAGTGTTAAAGCCGCTAAATGTTCGGTTTGGTTTGGTGTGGTTTGCAGAAGGCACCGCGGCTTACCGACAGCATGACATCTTGGTTAGCGGTATCATGAACATTATTATCATTATTATTATTATTACTGTTGTTATCATTATTATTATTATTACAGCGTGCTGTGCGAATAGGCGTCAAAATAGGAACTACAGGCTTCATCCCCAGCTAGTGCAATGCTCGCGGTGAACTTATCAAATACGCTGCAGCTGACCGAGCTGGGAATATTCAAGCCAATTTTACACGCCAGCATTTGAGAGCGAGTTAAAGATTAGAAAGAAGCAGATGCCCTTAAAAGAAACAAGAGTGCACAGGCTGTAGGCTACAACCTTCAGGTATTCCAACCACAAGCTTCCATCCATCCAGGGATTAAAAAAGTAGAAAAATAAACAGGTTTAGGAAGAAGAAAAAAAGAAAAAGAATGACAGCTCTTGCCTTTTATTTTGCAGTCATGTTAAATCCTGTCTAACCCATCGTTGCCATCCCTTAGAGGGGTTTCACTCGCATGTTGGAATAAAAGATGCCCGGTCCGTCCTTATTTGTCTGCCTCTGGGGTCCTTAACCCTCCTCCGTCACTCTGCTTAGCTCGCCTTCCTCCAGGTTAGTAATTCTTGGAGATTTCTTTAATGCACAAAAATGGATGCAATGAGAGAGGGGGGGAGTACTGTGTATGAGTGTGTGTGTGAGAGAGTGTGTGTGTGTGTGTGTGAGAGAGAGAGAGAGAGGTGGAAGAAGAGGCGGAGCAATGGAAACACGTAGAAGAATAAAGCCGAGAGGACGCGCTGGATGTTCATTGACAGCAGGATGACAGCGGCCGCTAAAACGCGGAGTGGAAGAGCGGCGCGCAGCTGGAGCACCGCTGGAAACGGGATGAGCATCATCATGCATATTTCATAACCAGATGATGAGCGCCGTGAGAGTGTGGGTGGGGGTGTAAAGTGGGAAGGTGAATGGGGAAAATGACCTGCGACGATGATCGTAACCGCTGCAGGTGTGGCAGCGGCGGTTCTGCTTTCATGCACCATTTGCGGCACACGCCGGCTTTGATGCCAGATCACGTGAGAGATTCTGAGGGACACGCGCAAGAAAACTGAGGCAGAGCGGCTACACAAGGCTGGTGCACTGCACAGTGGAAACAGGAATATTAATATCAACATTATAGCTGCTGGTTCCATGTATGCTAAATAGACACCTTTAGGGATTTAAAGGAGTTCGTTTCAAGTGTTTTGTGACGTGAGCCATTTCGAATAAAAGTTGGTTGCAGGCATATTTTTAAATGACATTAAACTCATTATACGATCAAAGCAGTTCCACACACCTCTATCTAGGAGTGTCTGTACCACCACTCCCTGCAAGGCCTTTCTTATCTGGGTGACTTTTATCCTATTGGACATTTCTCAGGTCTGACCCCACAACTATACATTCCTCTTCCTGACCTCTATCACTGTTCCAAAGACAGTCTCCCTCTACCACTTGTTTGTAGGATTTGAAGGACAACATTAAGAGGACAGAGGCTCTACCTAATAAGGGCTCTAAAGTCAATTACCACAAGCGGCTTGATCTGCCATAATAAGCCAAAATAAGAGTGAACTTCTTGAGTTGGATTTGTGAATGACTGAGCTCATAGATTCTTCCAAAGTACAAATAATGACGTTTATTATTATAAATACACATCAAAAAAAAACCTGTGTGGATCCATTTGCATATTACATTGAACAGCTCAGAAGCTGATTTGTGGAATTCCAAACATGAAAAAAATACTTCCTTGCACTTTTTTGGTTGTAAGAATTTTGTATTAAACCCGAGGATTTAATCTGCCCAGTTAAAAGCCTTAAATGGAAAGAAATCTACCACTTATTTATGATTTAGGCTTTAAAAGAAATATTCACGGGATAAATTTACAGTTGCAATTTTTTGAGACTTATGGAAATCCATCAATTTCATTTTGAAGACAACATCCAAAGGTAGGTAGTTACCTATATTATGTGGGCTACATTGGTCGGAAATGGACAGAATTCAGAGTAAATATCTTTGTTTTGTGACTTTGTGATGAAAGCCATCTCTGGTAGTCTGAAAATGAAATTAACACATTTTGTTACATTTTATTCACAGAAAATGACGCATCCATTTATCATGCATCACGCTGAACATCAGTGGTTCCAAGCATGATGCATCTTAACTTTTTATAATTGTCAAGGTGGCTCCTGGGTTGAGAAACGCAAACTTGCACAAAGCAAAGTGTGAAACAGAACCAAACCTAACCGAGTATACTTGGTCTGAATGCATTTTATAGTCTGTGTCCTTTTCCTTTCCACAACAGTCAAGTTCAATCTTCTTCAGAAATCTGAAAAAATATCCATATAGATGAAATCTCAGTCTCTAGTTCTTCTCTCCTTCAGCTTTGGCCTACTTCACCACAGTGACGACATGCTTCTCCTTCTCAGACACCACGGGAACGCTTCCTGGTTTGCTGTGTTTGCGAACATTCCTCTCCCTGAAAAATAACACAAGGAATCATGAATGTGAAATGAAGCTTTCTGGTGAGAATATTCAAGGAAGGATGGAGGGACGGGGAAGGGAGAGAACAGCAAACAGTGAGGATGGTGACTGAATATGAGACTGTTGACCTAACACCTACGTCACAGACAACACTGATGCACTCTGAAAATAATGCATAAAGGACAGATAGTTAATCATTCACAGTTCAAACACATGTCTGACGTATCATAATACTCCTGGTAATTAAGGGGGGAAAAAAAGAAGCTATGAATCACTGGACGGCAGTGCAAACTAGGACAATCAATCCAGCATATAAATGAGTATTTAATGCCAACTGAGACCATGTCATAGAGGGCAGTCCCATCTGTGGTATTTTCCATCAGGCTGGTGTGACTGCTTTAGGTCAGACATTTCCTGACATCATGGATAAAGAGTGACTTTAATGTGGCTCCTATAACAAAATCAGTTTCTGTGTTATGTAGAAAATGAACGCGTACTTTCTACGACGAGCCTCCTTCATAACCCTCAGCTCCTTGGTCTGGTGGTAGATGGTCTTTGGTAGATGTCGGTGGCGAGCGATGCGCCTGATTTGTGGGTGGTGCTGGAACTTCTCTTTTAGTTTCTGACTGTAGTTGGCAGCCTCTCTCTCCCTGGGGGCCAGCTATATCACACCAGAGAGGAAGAAGTTATTACATAAAACAAATTTTAAAAACGATGGAAAAATTAAGAGAGGAGATGAGTGAGAGATCAAAGAAGACATCAAAGAAGGCAAAGAGAGAAGACGACAATTAGGAGAAAATGTATACTGGGGTCATTGTTGACCCTGGAAGCCAAATTCCGCAAGTTAAATTTGGTTGCCCTTCTGCAGCTTTCACACTGCGTGACCACCAGCAGCTCAGGTCTGCTTCGTTGTCATGGAGCTATAAAACCATCCATCCTCAGACCAGTCAAAAGACTTCCTATTTCCATTTGATTTAAAACATGGCGTTCAAGTTATTGCAGAACTGGGCCCTGTACTATGAAGCAAGCCCAGCATATCCAGGGTAGGGCTGTTTGATATAACGATATATATCGGATAACGATATAAAAACATCCATCGTTTCATTTTACGCTATCGTTTGTTTCGTGGTGTCGCAAAATAAACTGTTCACGGCAATATTTTTTCATTGTTTTAATGGTCACTGTAGTGGCTATATTAATTTCTTAAAGTTCTCTCTTTCTCTTATATTTAATATAACCACACTATGGACAGACAAGCGCCTGTTTCTATGCGTTGTCGCTAGCAGCAACGACGGTAAAACCATCGCGTGTCCACTTGTTTATTTTCCACATAAACCTTTCACAATAAAGCTCATGATCCTGTTGAGACTTCTCAAAATAAACTGAATCACATGAAAAGGTATGCAGAGTATTTACAGATGAGAAGCAAAAAAGAGCCGCCAGGTGCTAAAAAAATAAACCTTAAACGTTAGAACAGGCGCTTGTCCGCAGCACGCCGTGTAATAAATACTCAAAGAAATGGCGGCCGTTACAACTTATGTCTAAAAATGTATGGTTTAATGCATCGGTTAAAACACTTGACTCCAGGTACACGACGCCCAGCTTGAAACACTTCAGCTGCCCGAGATTCACAGAATTTACAGAAAATGTTAAATTTTTGTGATTTATATCGTCATTGGGACGATAGATGTTTTATATCGGGATATGAGATTTTGGTCATATCGCACAGCCCTAATCCAGGGTATATTTCTATTATCTGGATCCACTTACCCCAACGTCGGCAATCAGGATAAGTAACACACACACGCACGCACGCACACGCACACAAACCCTTGTTCTCATCTAACTCTGAAAAAGAAAGTAAATCTAATTACATAAATATCTCCTCTGAGACAGTCATGATGTGCAATTAAATACAGGTTTTTTTCAGTGAATACTGGTGGTGACTTCTTTCAGCCACAAACAGGAACGTGCTCAGTGGACTTGTTAAATTGCTATTCTAACAGTGCTTGTTTAGAGCTGCAGTTACGGTATGTTGTCTAATGTTATAAAATGTTGGACAATACACTAAGCAGTAACTTCTTTTTGACAACATGTTCACTCAAAACTGAATCAATGTCTGTTAAAAAGTTAAAAAAAAAAAAAAAAAAAAAAAAAAAAAAGCCGGTGGCTCATAAAAACCACTGGCTAGCTGAGCATGTACTGGCTGGAGCTGCTCCCTTAAAAGGCTTTTATTCTAATTAAAAGCAATGATTTGTCTCAGATTCAATTTGCTAGAGAAGAGCTGTCAGATGCTGATCCTGTTGTACTAGACTAATTCCCCTGGATACAAATACTAAACACTGATTGTATAATCAACAGGAAATTCAAAATATGAGACAGTACACAATTATTCATTTCATAGGTTTTGGTTTGGAGGGATCATACATACCGGTAGCAAGGCTCTTATGAGCCAAACCAAAGTTTCTAACCGGTTACAGTGTGGTGTGAAAACAAAGCATGACACGCTACAGTTGGGGAAGTGGGGGGTATGACGCTTGAGATGAGCGAGTGTAACATAGGGACAGCTGCTCCCAGAGAAAACCTGCACAGGGACAGTGTGACAGTGACTGTTGGCAAAACAGATGAATCTATTTAGTCATTTAGTCATCCTGTCAACCCAAAGTCGAGGGGCCTGCACTACATGGTGTCAGTATTAACTGTAATCCTGCTGAGGCTCTGAAAACTTAAGCTATACACACCCAACCCTCTGCAGAAACCGCCACCACAATAAACCTTCCACTGCTATTAAAACTAAACTCACACACACGCCCATTCAGCTATCTTAGTGAGGACCTTTATTGAAATAATGGTTTCCCTAGCCCCTTACCCTAACCCAGACCTTCCCAAAGTGTGGGGCCCGCCCCCTGGGGGGGCAAAGCCATTGCAAGGGGGGTGCAGAATGAAAAGGAGGAGAGAAAAAAACGCTTGGACACTGCTAGCACGGGGCGCCCACAGAAACGCAAAGCAGGAGATGAAGCATCGCTGAATATGTTTCCAAACCAACTTCATTCTAAGCCAAAGACTAGAAAATATGGTGAAGCATATCTTCCCTTTGGCTTCACCTGCACAAGTGCCAAGGTAGGTCTCCCCTGCAGAATTGGTTTTCCCTGCATCGAGAGAAGCGCTGGGCTGTTCAAATCACGGACAAACAATATCCCACAGTTGTTTATGTTTTTAAACCCGTTTTGCACAGAGAGGCATTGCTTAAAAAATGTATTGATAGCAATGAAAAAAACCAAAAAAACTGCACGTAAAATAATCACATCGTGACGCCTCTGCCTTTGTAAATGGAGGGACAGTAACTGCGTGTGTAAATGTAAGCGTGTAAAACCTGAAGATAGTCAGATTAACAGTATTTTGTCTCTACCTGCCATTCTGCAATTCATCTCATGTAAACAATAACGTGGCGCACAGCGTGACGTGAAAAAGGCACATACCTTTGACGTTGCGTGACCAACTCTGTATTCCTCGTCCACACGTAAACGCAAAAAAGGAGTTTGAAAAAAATCTCAGTTTTCGGTGATTCGTAACGTCGTTTACGTGTGGACGAAACAGCTGCGTTTTCAAAAATACCCGTGTAGGTGTGGACGTAGCGTAAAAGAGTTAGTATTTTATTACTACCTGTAATTTATTGCAGATTACTTGTATTTGCTTAATTGTTTACTAAATGTTTGAGGTGTGAAATAAACCGCAATGGAGCAAAATATGGGTGTGTGTGGTTGGAGGATGTGTTTGTGCGTGTGCGTGCGTGCATGCACGTGCGAGAGGGGGGGGGCAACATTTTTCTTGTAAAACAAGGGGGGCCCAGCAAAAAAAGTTTGGGAACCACTGCCCTAACCATTAAAAATGAATTCACACCCCACTTAATCTTTTCTTTTTTTAATTTGTTTTTAACCTTACACTAGACTATAATTTACAAAATGAGCCACGTTTTGTAGCAAGTCCTAAAACTGTCAGCTGACTCATTTGGAAAGTGTTTAGTGAGACCGCTGCTTCTCATAACTTAAGCGGGATCACTTTCCCCACAGACTTCTATACAACTGGATTTCCTTTTGCAACCACCTAAGCTGGCCTCCTACTGGTGTCTAGAGAGAATGCACATCCAGACTGCCAAAGAGGCTTATAACCAAATTGAGAGTTTCATTATGTCCGTGCTTTCATTGTGAGGTAAAAGTAAAAAAGAAAAAAAACTAGCAATGTGAGAAATATTCCACTACGAAACAGCTCTACACTTTGACTCTATGAGTCAACCGTCACACACAGATCCAGACTAGTCACTGAATATAACGTTTTGTCGTCTTCTTGGGACACCTACTTCACAGCCTGTCTCCCTGACATGCCCGGTTATATGGAACTTGGCCTTCAACTTGGAAATGGTATTAGGGCTCACTCTAGTAATTCTGAAACTTGGTTTTGTAGAACATCAGCTTGAAGTTGCTCTATGGCACAGATCGAGATCAGTCACATGTGGCATGCTTGGAACACACACCAAGTGACGGCTGTAGCAGGGTCCTTGCTCACAGTTGCTGCTAATCAGGGACTTGACCGTCATCACCAACCAGCTCAACCAACTGATGCCTTTTTCCTTACAATCGTGTAACTATTAAGAGGAGAAACTTTCCAACAGTATAAGCTTTATTACCAAGATGCACAGTTACAACAAAGAAGTCATCGACCAAATGCAAATTTTCTTACTTTTTGTGCAAAGTTTATACATTTTTAGCAGTCTGTGTTACCTTCAATCCAAACTCCACAGACAGGCTGTGGATACCTGTGTGTATTTGCTTTTGTTCCGTCGGTGTTACCCCAAACCATTTTTAATGTTTCCGACTTATCCATGTGTAACTTCAGTCAGCGTGTATTGTGCTCTGTTCTCTTTTGGTAGTTGCACTGTGGCTTAAAGTCTACAGTGTACACACCAACAGCTGTTGCTGCTTTGCCGCTTTCCCTCTTGTCTGACTTATGTTTTATCAAATTCTCCATGTTTCCTAATATCTGCTATCAACTGATTAAGTAGAAGGTTATAACAAGATGCAAAAGACTGAAAGCAAAGCCCAACTCATAACAAAGCTACAACGCCTTGTTTCAGACTGTAAACGCCTTAAAAAACATAAAAACTAAATCACAAGCACTATATTTTCATGTTATTGACTCAAAAAGTAACAAAGCATGTGAGCATCAATAATTCAGTTGCGTTGACTCTTAACATCTTTTAGGTCTTGGTCAGAAATAAAAAGGGTTAAGCTAGAACTGGAGTAATGTGCAGCATCAGATAGAGAACTCCCCGTCAGTGCAGCGTGCTGTACTGATGGTGACACAGACAAAGCCTTGAGTCGGCGTTTCAGCATTTCCTGATAATTAAAGACCATCTGAGTACAACTTGAATGTTAATGCTTCATTATTTTCAGAGTGGCCCCCCGCTTTAAGTGATTGGCCGATTTTAAACTGCTGATAGGAGCAGCCCTTGTCTGATCTCTTTAAGTGCAAAGCTTGCAAATAAATCTCCCCTTACACAGTTACAGTAGAACAAGTGCCAAAAGCAGGCCAGTTTTCCACTCGGAGCCTGCATTAAGAGAATAGGCGAGAGTGAATCCGATTAGTAATGAAAGATGGCTGCTGGAGATGGCACGAGAGAGGCAGCTGATCTTCGTGAGTCAGCCACGACCAGGATTGACAATAGCACAATATAAATGCTGATTTCTGCCATTAAAACCTACATAAAAAAAATTATTGCATTAACGCTCTCTAACAAAGACAGCTGGAGTGGAAATTTGGGAGAATGCTTTGTCGATGATTTGTTAAATAACTGCACAAGCACTGAGTTTTTTTGCCCCCCCCCAGGAGCCCCTGTGCCAACCGGTACATTGTACTTATTGAGAGAGTGACTCTACCCTAAGTCAGCATCCATCAGGGCACTTGGCAACAGTAGTGCCGTAGCTCCTGGCACAGTCACCCACTCTTACACTGCTGAAGGTGGGCGCAGAGCCACAGCGGTGTCGAAGAATCCAGCTAACTCATAAAACAAGTAATAAAGTGAAGGAGAAAGATATAGTGTGTTTGACAGCTGAGGAAAATACAGCTGCCGACTGGCAGGTAGACATCGTGATGAGGAATTACCTGAAAAGTTGCCAAGAAGCAGCAAGTTGCCTTTGATATGAAATCAGTAGGAATAATGGAGAGAAGACGAGGGCAGACTCACCACTCCTAGTTTCTCGGCTGCGTTGGCTTTCCACAGTCGGATATTCATCTCGTCTGAGCCGCTCAGGATGTACTTGTTGTCTGCAGACCACTTTATACAGATGACGTGTTGCATGCGTTTGGTGTGGTACACCTCCCTAAATTTTAATTTTTAAAAGATTGCAAGGGAAACAACAGGAAGCCAGTAATTACTGTACACCTAGAGACACTCTTCAAACCACTGATGAAGTGCATTTTATAAGCCAGCCCTCACCAAAACAACTCTTGTATTATGACAGAAGAGGGCTTACAGAAATGTGGTTACACAGCTCAGGTTTGTTGTTGTGGAGCTAGAGGTTTTTTGTGTTTATTTGTTTGTTTTTAAACAGCACCAGGTAATAAACAGGTATCATGATAATGTTTAATATCTGCTTTCTGATTACATAACAGAATTGAGCCTATAAGTAGAGTAATTAGTAACACTTGTGCTCTATCTGCTTTGATCTCACAAAAAAAGGGGGAAAGTGATGCAAAAATACTATATTTCTACTTGCTGCCTACTTACTAATTGCCACGTAAGCCCTCACCAGCCCATGCTGTGATGCTGTCCGGCTGGCAGCTAATGTAACACTACTACGGCTATTTGTTCTGGAGCTTGACAACAGTACAAACAATACAGCATGTACTATTAAGTCACATAGAAACCAAACAACGGGTTTGTTTTTTTGTGGTTCATTATCAACCAGCAGCCATAATCTGCTACTGTGTTCAACACATGGCCTTTTTCACAGGGTGTGTTTGGAGCATTTTGACATTATCCTAGTAGAAAATTCACAGCTGTTATTATTACACTTGCAATTGATTTAAGTTAATGTTTAACAGATATAATAAATAATATACTCAATATTTAATCAATTCAAGCCATCAGCAAAAACACATTGATTTATTGCTGTTCCTTTTCAAAGACATTCTTCAGCTAAAGCCTTAATAGATCATTAAAGATTAAAATATGAGCCAATTAACATTAGCTGTGTAACAGTTCTAAAACAGACTTAAATTGAGATACGAAGATTGTATAATGTGCAATATGAGTATTGTATTATGATGTTCATAAATTATATCATGGCAGAGAGGAAGAGCCAGTAATTGCTTCATTACTGTAGCACTACCAGCTAGTAGCTTCTGGTATGTTAGCTAGCTTTGTGTAAATATACACAGCTTATCTGAGCTGTTATCCTCATCTTCTCCTGATTTTTGCTAAATAAAGCGAATATTTCTTTGTTGCTGTTCAAACAATGTGTTTAAATGTAAAGGAAGAAGTGACACTGAAAACCTTTTTTAATAAAATGTATAACTGCATGCTAATTAGCCAGAAGCTAATGTTATTTTGCTAAATAGCAAACGGTCAGTAAATAGCACTACAGACATTACGCGAGAGAGAACTGGGAAGTCAAACCAATGCTGAATTCTGAAATGCTAATAATTGTTTAAATTAAACTTCATTTAAATGAGGCTTCAAAAAAAAAAAAAATCCTGACAGAGTGTTCATAAATGCTTCAACATGGTTTCCATGTGGCGAGTCCTCCTACAGGTACCCGATTAAAGCCATAGACAATATAAAAGGTGGATACAGCTTCTGGTTCTGAAAAGTGAAGCCATCAGGGTCCATTAGCAGTGGTTGCTTAAACACAGGCAGTCTTATGGAAGGGAAAAGGGACCACCCACTTTTTAAAATGCTCCAAATTCCCCATCCTTTTTCTCCAGTCTTATCAGAAAATCCTTATATACAGAGTTTTGACCCTGGAACCAAACTAACTATCTACAAAAGTGAATAACAAACATTAAAATGTCCTTCACCTTTCTTATAAAATTTAATCCTTTTCCTTTTTGTAGTGTTTATATGGTTAAAAACAGTGATGAATAATAATATTTTTGAATATATTTTGCAGTTTGTGTTGTGTATATAAAGTAATGCAAAGCCCAGTTATAGATCTAGTGCAGTGTTCCTGACCTGACATTCAGTTTTAATCAGACAGACTTGTGGTTGCAACAGGAGCACATACCGTCATTTCAATACTCATTTTACGTCTGCTTTGGATTATTACAATGTTGTGGCTCATAATCAAAAGCCCTATTGAGAATATGAATGGGATTTTTACTTCCTAAACCTCAGTGTTGAGGTTCATAGAAGTCTATGCAAAATCATCGCTCCGACTTTACCTTGGAAAACACTGAGTTTACGCGCTCAGTCACTCGTTTTGGATAATACTGCATAAAACATTAAGTGACTTTTGTAAATTTTGGTCACCAACCAATATGCTCATTGGCTGACACATTTTGATTGACAAAATGGCCTAAAACACCGAAGAGAGCGAAGGTGAAAACATTCATCAATACAGAGTTTCACAAACCAGAAGGCAACATCACGGTTGCTACATCCATTTTTTAGTTGGTCTATAATCAGGCATGGCAGTCTGGTGAGAGCTGCAGTGTTTAAAAGTCATGAAAGTAAAGAATGAAAGGAAATAACATCAGAAGAATTACATATTTTTTTAAGTTATTCCCACTCAAAGGGGGTCAAAAACAAAGCTATGAACCAAACCAAAGGATTTATGCTATAATTTAATTGCACCACAAATTATACAGCATAGTCAGCAACAGTACAATTTTTCCTAACACTTTGCTGGCACCATAAAGTTTGATCAGCATTACTGACCTGCTGTGTCCACCGTCCTTGGCGAAGATTCGGATGGTCTTGTCAAAGCTAGCAGACACAAACTCCTTCCCCGTGGGAGCATAGTCAACATCTAGCACAGCAGACACATGGTCCATGTGTACCGTGATGGGCTTGGCCAGGTACCTCATGTCATATGTGTAGAGGCTGGTGAAAAGGAAAAAAACAAAAAACAGTTTCTATGAGCTGGGGAAAAAAAAAAAGAAAAGGACCAGCTAAAATATGATTAAATCAGAGTTTCTTTCCTAGACTCACTTGTAGTCCTCATTTGCACATGTGAAGTAATAGGCTTCCATGGGGTTCCAGCTTAGCGTGTTGCTCCTCATTGTCATGATGACCTTAAGAAGAAAGTAAGAGCAAAAAGTAGCTGATTATCATGCCGCATCCATGTAAATTAACAGGGAGATAAACAGATGCATTCCTGCACAAACTGTAAGGGAAGATTTACCTTTTTAAGTGGTGTAGATTCCCTCATGTCGTAGAGCACTATACTCCTGTCAGAGGCACAGCTTGCAAGAAGTTCAGTCTGTGGAGAGGATAACCCTTGACTTTATTTATCAGCACATGTGTTGGCTTTAAGTCGCAATAAACACCTGTGAGCTTATACGTCCAAGCAACCTTTTTCGTCACATGACTGGAGGGCGGGGCCCATGTATGTGAGATGTAGCACGTGGTATCTTACCTCCACAGGGTTAAAGTGCACAGAGCTGAAGCTGTCTACACCCCAGGTGAAAGAGCGGATCGGGCTGCTCCTCTGCTCATCCCAGATGTCCACCTGCTGGCCGCACGTTGCAAATACAGGATCGTTCTGATGATGATCCAGACCTGTGTACACAGTCTACAAGGGACATTTTTTTTTCATTCATACTTCACTGATACATGAATATGCAATTCTATGCGATGAAACAGCAAAATTATTACAGCATACTTTGCCCAGGATGGTGTTAATTGGCTCCTCTTCTTCTCCGTAGCCTGGTGATTCCATCTTCCATTGTTTGATTGTTTTGTCGTCACCGACCTGTTGCAGAAAAAGAAATCATGTTAGATGTCAGCTAATATGAAGTCAAACAATTCGGAAAAGTCTTCAAAAAGATGATCAGTTACCGTAAAGAAAGAGGTCCCACAGTAACGCACAACCATTCCCCGCACAAAACCTTCATGTGCCTGAAGCGTCCGAACGCACTCGTGTTTGGACAGATTCCACACCTTCACCTGAAGATCAAATCCAAAAGGAGAGTCCTGTCAGTTTGCAAGAATGGCTGAGATAAAAGGAAATGCATCTCTACATACCTCCCCATCACAGGAGCCTGACAGCAGGGTGGAGAGGCTCTTTGCGTGCTTGGCCATACAGTTCACCCCATCTCTGTGACCATCCAGCGAGGCCACGAAAGGCTTGGCAAACACACGCTCCAGCTTGGTGGCGTTCAGAGCTCGAGTGTACTCCCTGCTCACCTCAAACGGATGAAGGGACGGGTCATAGTTTCTGGGGACTAAAAATACACAGCAGTCACTTCTTTATGTGCTCAAAGAAAAGAGCATTTCCATTAATTAAAAAAAAAAAAAATCCAAGCGTGCAGGTATGTTGCTGCTAACCAAGTCAAGTAACACAGACTGTTTAGGCTCCATAATAAGGAGTTTAGAAATGTGTGAAGCAAAATTTGTAATTCCGAACGTGCTAAATGCAAAGACAGCTTTGCAAAATTAGATTAAAAGCATGACTGTTGTGTCAATAGCTTTAATCAGATGCTAACACTGTAGCTCTTTCGTATGTATGCTGTTAGCTATTTAGCCGAAGAGTTTCACTTACCGCGCTGAATATCCAGTTTGGTCTCCCGGACATAATCATCCGGATTCCTTGCGATGACTTTAACTTTCATTTGGTAGCGGAGGGGCACACGCTTACAGAAAGGGAAAATTATAGCAACAAAAATATTAGCAAGTAGTGAACACACCAGCCATGTGTTGATAGTGAACAGAGTCGGCGATCTCGCGTTGCATTGTGGGATGCCCGGTCCTCCTGGTTGCATCACTCACAAGTAAAGAAACGAGTACTAAAGTTACAACATTTAGAAAGAGAAGGACCGGAAATAGTTTTTTCTTTTGTTTGTTTTCAGCTAAATCAAGGAAAACCAACGCCAACCTTCTGAGAAAGGTTCACGGAGACATCAAGCGACCTTTACCGAAGACACTTGAGAATAAGATATAATAATTAAGGGCAATATTACAAAATTATGAATAAATAATAGATATAGAAAAGCCTGTAAAAGCGCTACTTAAATCATTATTCGAATAACCAAACTGATTATATGTAATTTATGTGGAAAACAGTTTTAATATAGTTAAGTTTTATCAAAAATGTCTCCGAACCATCATACAAAATATGTCGACGTAACTAATCCTAACTTTTGTATTAGTAAAATAAATAAATGAATGAATACAGCATATTTCATGTGTGAATTATTTTTGAAGTATTTAACCGGAAGTACTATTTCAACAACGGGAACTTGTCATTACTTAATAATAACAGCAAGGTCGAGCACTGGGTCTGCGACTTGACTCTTGGAGAGTGCGTTACACCTGTGAGGTACCTCCGGATGTCAGAAACGTGGTGCGTCATTAGCACAGGAGAGATATGAGGACGCTGTTCCGTCCTCGTACTGTATGGAAACTGCAGCAGAGTAAGCGAGGGGTCGCCTCAGTTTTATAGAGAGTTACATTTTGACACGCTGCGTGCTTGCGGTGTTGTAAACACTGCTATCTGGTAGGATCTAGCTAGGTAGCTAAGTTGCCCATGAGCATGAGCTCCGCTCCAAATCACGGTCCCGTTTCAGAGACAGGACTGCCCGGCAAACCCGTGTCCGCTGTCTCGTTCGGCGGACGACTACAGAAGGTCTTTAGCCATGTGAAGGTAGAAAACCTGATCGCGGGACTCAGCGGGGGAGTGGTGTCAACTCTGGTGCTTCATCCTTTGGACCTGGTCAAAATCAGGTTTGCAGGTACGGCATGAAAATATGAACTTTTAAAATCAATTTCCTTAGTGTCTGATGTGTCATGCTGCTATGACTTTACTTGAATCTGCTAAGAAACTACTGCTATGATGTGTTTAATTTGTATCATATGACTTCAAGGTCCGTAATGTCTTTTAAATGCAGTAAGTGATGGACTTGAATTAAGACCGAAGTATAGTGGCATGGTGCACTGCATGAAGAGTGTCTGGCAGCAGGAGGGACTGAGGGGACTCTATCAAGGCGTGACACCCAACGTTTGGGGTGCTGGTGCATCTTGGGGCCTCTACTTCTTCTTGTACGTAAGCTATAAGCTTTAATGAGGACATGAAACGCTACACATGAAAGATAATTTACATCATGGAGCCCTGTTCGCAAAAACTGACGTAGGTGTAACACTTTCTGTGAAGCTAGATCACTTTTGTGCTGTCCCTGGCTGTTACAATGAGTTTTATGTTAAGAAACTGAGGATGTACTGTCCACTTTCACTGTCTGACTCTTTAGCAGTAAGTGGCTGCTTGTTGTTTTGTTAGCTGCACTGAAACTGGAGAATCTAGCTGTTAGCCGTAATGTTCGGGTTTGTACAACACCCTATGAATGAAAAAAGCAGCATGTATGACTTTACAACTGCAAGATGTCTTATTGCCCTTGCCCTGTTCCCTCACAGCTACAACGCAATCAAAGGGTACACAAAGGAAGGTCGTCAGGCTGAACTGAGTGCCACAGAACACCTGGTGTCAGCGGCTGAAGCTGGTTAGTACTACCCGTGTTTGAACGCTGCTGCACTCCCCCACCATATAATCAGCACATGATCAATAACAGCAGCTAGATATGACTGCTACAAGCTGGTAGTAACTGACAGGGAGTTAGTTACTTGTGGTTCAGGGCAGCCTTACATGCTTGTGTGAATGGGGGAAACGAAGGCATTTACAGCCTTCACAAGATTTTCAATGGAAATAAATTGAAGAAGCCGATGACAGGGAGGTTTTATAGCTACCATCAACAGTATAAAAAATGAAACCAAAACAGATGTTTTATTGATTTGATCTTGTGATTTTTTTTTTTTTTTTTTTTTTTTTTTTTTTTTTTTTTCCCGCCATCAGGCACTTACACCATTCTAATGAGAAGGTTAGAATTATACCTGGGTGGCATTAAAGAGCCTAATGCACAAATGCACTCTGTTGCGCTTCTTGTTCAGTTTGGTGACACGGTGAGCTAATTCCAAACTGTGTTGTGCACAAACAGCTGGGCATTTGTGTGAGATCTCTAGCACAACTTCAAATAGGTCTTTTTTCCTGTACCACTTTAAAGTCAGGAAGTCCTTGGTCCTGTTCGTCAAGTCATAGATATTGAGTTATAGTAAATGACTCTTCACTGAGGGGCCTGTGTGCTAATCATGGGTCTAACAAAGTAATAGAAGTCACGTGTGTTTCCTAGTGACATTTCCTTTCTTGTCCTTGCCTAGGCATCCTCACGCTCACCCTTACCAATCCAATCTGGGTGACCAAGACCCGGTTGGTGCTGCAGTACAGTGCTGACCGAAATGGCAAGCAGTACAAGGGGATGTTTGATGCTTTGGTTAAGATCTACCGCCATGAAGGAGTGTCTGGACTCTACAAGGTGAGACATGAGTGTGTTAGTGTTCCTTATGATGTAAGATTGCATGGTTAGCAAGTTTAAACATTTGGGAGGGGTGGCTTAAACTGGGAGATTTTTCTACACCTGTTAATGCCAGAATGTTTTAGTAGTCTTTATTACTTCCATATATTTATTCTCAACTTTCCTTCTTTAAAATATTATCCCTGTTGAGTAACACTCACAGACATAATTTCCTCGTCCATGCTCCTTTGTGTCTGCCTCGTCCCAGATGGTGAGATTCAGTGTAACAAGTTGATAACCCTCATTTGTGGCAGCTTTTCTGTCATTTGTTTGGTTCAGCTTAAACATGCATACCCACTCATAAAGAAATCACAGGCATCTCAGCTTTGTTACTGAGATGGCACACTAGCAACAATTCCTTAAAGACCTGACAAAAAAAAGTAGCCCACTGTGGTTTTCAGACTACCTGTTGGTGTCAGAGGAGAGACTGTGCTGTCGCTCGCTTAGATACCAACATGGTGTGTTTGTGTGTGTGGTGGGTGGTGGGGATCATTAGGTTTACCACCAAACATTCAGTGGAGATTAGGACTCATATTTCATATTCAGATTTTGGGAGTAAGTACACTCATTGTTAAAGAAAGAAGGCTCGGCCCTGGTGCAGCTTTTGTTGGTTTGCTGAGTGATGTCCTGGCATGTTTTCTTTTTGAATTATTTAGCTTTTTTCATGTTTCTAAGTGGGGGGACAAATTAATGTGTTCTGAATATCCCATCAGATCTCACTTTTGCTTATTTTGATAGGAATACTGAAGACCTCGTAGGCGCTATTGACTTTAATCACCACTAGAGGGCATCAGCTACCTTTCTAGCTGGAAAAAAACACAACCCATTTATACAGGAGTGGAGGTTTTAAGCAGTATGTCAGCTTCTTCATTAACAATATTGAATTGTAATTTGCTGTCGGAAATGTTATACCTAAAGTTCAAGAGAAAATAGGGCCAAGGGCCCTTAATTTAATTAAGTTCATTTTCATTTATATAACGCTAAATCACAACAACAGTCACTTCAAGGCTCTTAATATTGTAAGGTATAAACCCTACAGTAAAAACCACAACAATCAGATGATCCCCTATAGCAGGGGTCCCCAATCCCAGTCCACGAGGGCCGGTGTCCCCGCAGGTTTTAGATCTCACCCTGGGTCAACACACCTGAATCACATGATTGGTTCATTACCAGGCCTCTGGAGAACTTCAAGACAGTTGAGACGGTAATTTATCCATTTAAATCAGCTGTGATGGATCAAGGACACATCTAAAACCTGCAGGGACACCGGCCCTCGTGGACTGGGATTGGGGACCCCTGCCCTATAGCAACCAGTTGGCGACAGTGGGAAGGAAAAACTCCCCTTAACAGAAACCTCCAGCGGAACCAGGTTCACTAAGGGGAGACAAGACAAAAGACACACTGTGGAAGAGAGCCAGAGATTAATACGAACTAATGATTAAATGCAGAGGGGTGTATAAACACACAGAGAGTAAAGAGATGGGGAGTCACAGATGTGTGGGCTTTTCAGTGGATAAGTCACACTGTGGGAATTTGAGTGTCAAGTCAGACCGACTTACAGAGTATGTCTTTAAAAGGGTTATGTTCCCGGTCTGCTCGGCACGTCTCATGGAGCACTGCAGTTCATGACTTACGAAGAGCTCAAGAGAGACTACAACAAATACAGAAAAGCACATTCAGACGCAAAGCTGGTGAGTCACTAACCATGAGCCACAGACAGGCTGGAAACATTGTTTAATAAAACTCAGCCATAAGGCTTGTAACTTTTGAGTCTAATGAGACAGAGCCCACAGTTGATAACAAGTGACTCATCAGTTTTCCTACACTGCTCTGCTCCCTTCTTCCTCCTTCCATTTATCTGTCTGTGCAAACAGAACCCATTGGAATACATCACAATGGCAGCATTATCCAAAATATTTGCCGTGGCCACAACATACCCATATCAAGTGGTGCGAGCTCGCCTGCAAGACCAGCACAATAGATACAATGGAGTTATTGACGTTGTGAGACGGACATGGAGGTAAGACACCGATCCACTCACAGTGGGACCGAGCGTGCCGGCCCCGTCTCAGGTTCTGAGCACAGTTCGAGTGCCTGTTATGATTGATGCTTAACATTTTCCCACTTGTCTCCTCAGGAATGAAGGTACCCTTGGTTTCTACAAAGGCATCATCCCCAACTTGATCCGCGTCACCCCAGCCTGTTGCATCACCTTCGTGGTTTACGAGAATGTGTCTCACTTTTTTCTCGGGCAAAATAAATGAGGTTTTAAAAGCAGGGCACGGACTGCCCCGAATGCTGCAAACTCGTGCTGACACGTTGGCGCCGTGCGGAGGAGATGCAGGGGAGGACCGT